TGCGCTGCAGGATTTTAATCCATAACGGCGTAGTGTGTTACTAATGGTTTTCTTTGAGACTGTGGTCCCAGCTCTCTTCAGGTCATTGACCAGGTCCTGCCGTGTAGTTCTGGGCTGATCCCTCACCTTCCTCATGATCATTGATGCCCCACGAGGTGAGATCTTGCATGGAGCCCCAGACCGAGGGTGATTGACCGTCATCTTGAATTTCTTCCATTTTCTAATAATTGCACCAACAGTTGTTGCCTTCTCACCAAGCTGCTTGCCTATTGTCCTGTAGCCCATCCCAGCCTTGTGCAGGTCTACAATTTTATCCCTGATGTCCTTACACAGCTCTCTGGTCTTGGCCATTGTGGAGAGGTTGGAGTCTGTTTGATTGAGTGTGTGGACAGGTGTCTTTTATACAGGTAACGAGTTCAAACAGGTGCAGTTAATACAGGTAATGAGTGGAGAACAGGAGGGCTTCTTAAAGAAAAACTAACAGGTCTGTGAGAGCCGGAATTCTTACTGGTTGGTAGGTGATCAAATACTTATGTCATGCAATAAAATGCTAATTAATTACTTAAAAATCATACAATGTGATTTTCTGGATTTGTTTTAGATTCTGTCTCACAGTTGAAGTGTACCTATGATAAAAATTACAGACCTCTACATGCTTTGTAAGTAGGAAAACCTGCAAAATCGGCAGTGTATCAAATACTTGTTCTCCCCACTGTAAATCCATGTAATATAGCCTACACCTTCACAATAAATCCATTATTTATATTAGACAGGTCTAAAGAAACAAATTGTAGTCTATTTCAGAAGAACAGAATAGCATACTCTGAGTTGTCCTTATGTTAGGACATGATAAGGCTATGCCAAATGGCTGTGGGCTACACTAGTTCATTTAGCAGACAAGATCTGCTTAGAATTCCGTGCCATTATTTTATAGTATGAAGAATACAATTGAACATAGCTGAATAAAATAGAAACAATATTTTCTCCAAACGATTTGAGTGAGTGAGCACATGCAGCTGTTCGGTGAAATAGGTACTCCTATATGCTTAATTTAGTTATTAATGTAACTTTAGTTCTACAAACGTTGGGCTATATGTTTTGATGTTTAATCCATTGTAAGGCCGCATGATGCGACTAATGATGATTTGAAGAACCGTCCACATTTACTTTTCGTCAGCCAACAAGATGAGTAGGCCTAACGAACAGCAAACGCACTAGCCTATGTCAATCTACTATCCTCCATAGTATGAAAGTTGACCTATTCTATTCTGTGCGAGAAATAAATATTCCAAACATAGTCTGGGACAGTTGTGGGATGCGACAGCTTCCAAATGAATACAACCACAAGCAAAAAAAATAAATGTACGCAATGTGGCTGACACAACAGCTTAAAATTATGATAAACTGTTAGTCTATTTCTTCACATTATAAGCGCAGCAATGCGCACAAGGCAGTAGTCTATATGTGCGAATGTTCCATTAGCTGGAAAACACCATTATCAAAAGTGACCGCAAAATGTGATTATGCATTTAATTATTTTATTATGAAGAAGCATTTTTATGGTGAAAATTATCTTCCCCAAACTTGAAACTCACACGCTGCTTATGTACAGTATCTCACAAAAGTGAGTACACCCCTCACATTTTTGTAAATATTTGAGTATATCTTTTCATGTGACAACACTGAAGAAATGACACTTTGCTACAATGTAAAGTAGTGAGTGAACAGCTTGTATAACAGTGTAAATTTGCTGTCCCCTCAAAATAACACAACACACAGCCATTAATGTCTAAACCGCTGGCAACAAAAGTGAGTACACCCCTAAGTGAAAATGTCCAAATTGGGCCCAAAGTGTCAATATTTTCTGTGGCCACCATCATTTTCCAGCACTGCCTTAACCCTCTTGGGCATGGAGTTCACCAGAGCTTCACAGGTTGCCACTGGAGTCCTCTTCCACTCCTCCATGACGACATCACGGAGCTGGTGGATGTTAGAGACCTTGCACTCCTCCACCTTCCGTTTGAGGATGCCCCACAGATGCTCAATAGGGTTTAGGTCTGGAGACATGCTTGGCCAGTCCATCACCTTTACCCTCAGCTTCTTTAGCAAGGCAGTGGTCATCTTGGAGGTGTGTTTGGGGTCGTTATCATGTTGGAATACTGCCCTGCAACCCAGTCTCCGAGGGAGGGGATCATGTTGGCATTCATGGTTCCCTCAATGAACTGTAGCTCCCCAGTGCCGGCAGCACTCATGCAGCCCCAGACCATGACACTCCCACCACCATGCTTGACTGTAGGCAAGACACACTTGTCTTTGTACTCCTCACCTGGTTGCCGCTACACACGCTTGACACCATCTGAACCAAATACGTTTCTTGGTCTCATCAGACCACAGGACATGGTTCCAGTAATCCATGTCCTTAGTCTGCTTGCCTTCAGCAAACTGTTTGCGGGCTTTCTTGTGCATCATCTTTAGAAGAGGCTTCCTTCTGGGACGACAGCCATGCAGACCAATTTGATGCAGTGTGCGGCGTATGGTCTGAGCACTGACAGGCTGACCCCACACCCCTTCAACCTCTGCAGCAATGCTGGCAGCACTCATATGTCTATTTCCCAAAGACAACCTCTGGATATGACGCTGAGCACGTGCTCTCAACTTCTTTGGTCGACCATGGCGAGGCCTGTTCTGAGTGGATCCTGTCCTGTTAAACCGCTGTATGGTCTTGGCCACCGTGCTGCAGCTCAGTTTCAGGGTCTTGGCAATCTTCTTATAGCCCAGGCCATCTTTATGTAGCGCAACAATTCTTTTTTTCAGATCCTCAGAGAGTTCTTTGCCATGAGGTGCCATGTTGAACTTCCAGTGACCAGTATGAGGGAGTGTGAGAGCGATGACACCAAATTTAACACACCTGCGCCCCATTCACACCTGAAACCTTGTAACACTAACGAGTCACATGACACCGGGGAGGGAAAATGGCTAATTGGGCCCAATTTTGACATTTTCACTTAGGGGTGTACTCACTTTTGTTGCCAGCGGTTTAGACATTAATGGCTGTGTGTTGTGTTATTTTGAGGGGACAGCAAATTTACACTGTTATACAAGCTGTACACTCACTACTTTACATTGTAGCAAAGTGTAATTTCTTCAGTGTTGTCACATGAAAAGATATACTCATATATTTACAAAAATGTGAGGGGTGTACTCACTTTTATGAGATACTGTATGTCAGTTAGGCTCTACACCCCTTGTAAGTGGATTAATGTGCTTAATTTTAAGAAGTTACTTGGCCACTTTAGTTGTGATACAAACCTTATCAAAACATGTAGGCCTATGGGCTAGGCTACATGAGGTGTGCTACTATGATTATTATTTTATTTTTTACGCAATAAAAAGGCATGGTTTCTTGCCTTAAGCTGGGCATCATTCACAAGTGATAATATATAATTCACAAGTGATAGGCTAATATTGTCACCCATCAGACTATTCTTGATTTAATCTTGTCTTTACATATCCAAAATAATGTGTGTGAAGTTTGTTTTGATTTGGAATATACCATTATCATGCACCTGTCTCAAAACAGGGGCAGGGGAAAAAATACATGTCATCTATGCACTTAAATAGCAAATGGAGGACACATGTCCCGTGGTTCATTTTCATGCCAGCCCGGTAGGTTATACTCCTGTTGTAAAGATAAGCAAGGTGCTTAATATTAGGAAAGTTGAGAAATAAATATAGTAGGCCTAGCCTATAGAAAGCTGATGGGATCCTCTTTTGAATAGAGGCCATCACCCTGTTCTCGCGCAATTGCATAGCCTATAGAAATATTGCGCAACATGAGCTCATGAATTGTTTGATTAGATTTTCCATAACATTTGCATTGATGTCAGAGTGATTAGAGGGACAATAGAGTGCTGAGTACCAGGCAGTTAGCAAGTTTGGTAGGCTACTAATGACCATCAGCAGCATCAGAGCTTGGAGAAGCCTAATTACTGTTAGTCACGTGGAATTTGACTGCCTTCATGACTCGTGACCGCCGGTGTGGCGGTCACCGCAACAGACCTATCCACGCCCCGACGAATTGAGGCTGTACTGAGGGCAAAATGAGGGGGTGCGACTCAATATTAGGAAGGTGTTGCATATGAGGAGAATCCCCTCAGTTCGTCCACTAGATAGCAGGAGATCATCATAGGACGTCTCTTGGCCACTTGAAACCAGTTGCGTCTGGTTTGGGTAGTGAGTCACTGTGCCAAAATGGCTGAATGGATTTAAGCCTGACATCTTAAAATGACCTTAGCAATCAGGGCTTTCAAGTTATGTTGTTTGCTTTTTTAAAATAAGACAGACAGGAGGAAACATACTTATTTTCCCATTTACTTTTCCTATTGTAAACGATGAGCTAGATCAACAGCGCATGTGGAGGATGCATTCAAGATAATGTGGATGGAGAAGGAAATGCATTGGAAATGACATTCAGGGTGTAGCCTTTCCATGCATACCAAATATTTGCACTTTTGGTGACTTGATCTACATGGCATACTCTATGAATATGACCATAGCGCATGATTTATGGCCTTTATGGGGGGGGGGGGGCGGTGTGTTCTTATGACATTGCCAGCAGTAAGATTTGAGTTCCCGGTACCGGGTCCAAAACAACCACTCAGAGTTTAGCAGGTACTGGTTAGGACAGCTCATGAGGTCTCCTAAATATCTGTTGACTGACTAATGACTAAAGATGCTTCTTGCATAAGTTCTTTTTACCCATAAGAGTAGCAGTAGAATGTCTCTATTCTCAGCACTTAACGGCCAATTTTCTACTCTAAAACGCTTTGTGGATACGGGCCCAGAACTAGGCTTAAGATACAAACGCCAAACCACCCCAACCATATGTGCAGAATTAGCCTATTTTGGAAATGTTGGATTCGCAACTGCTCTTAAACCATTTAATCTGTGTCCGGCAAACCAGCCAATAAAGTCCATATACTTTAGTCTACAGACCCACCTTCATTGATCTTCAGGTTGGAAACGAAGGCCAGCAGCTCATTGGGGTCTCTGTTGTCTCCGGTGGACTTGGTGCCCAGCGGAGGCTCCTCCTCAAACTGGGAGATCATCTCAGCCAGGAGACCTACTACAGACGACTTGGGCTGTGGAGGGAGAGGAAGACGCACAGCTTTACAACGGGAGAGAGGATGCATCGGTGTCTATCTGTCATGGTCAATGACATGACAATTTACTCCATCAAAAATGCTTCCGTCAAAGAATGAATAACATGAAACTCGCACAAATTTGCTACATTTGAGGTGGAGCTGAAAAAATGAAAATTGAGTCACACTCTGAAGTTACTTCCATATGTATTGTCCATACTAGTGTCCCACTTAGGATACATGCCCAATGCATTGCTTAATTCTAAAGGGACTTCCTCAATCTTTTCTTGATTCCTCGCATCTTCTCCTTTCTCAAAACACATTGGAGAAGAAGCCCAAAGGGCAGGGACCTTTGACCTTATCCTCCAGTAAGGTTGAGAAGGAGGCAAGGAGATGGCAAGCCAAGAATCGCAGAAGGACAATGAGATAGAGCCAAATAAGTAGTATTCAAGTGTGGATACTAGAACAGAGACCTGGGCCCATATCCATAAAGCGTCTGAGTAGAAAATTGGTCATAAGTGCTGAGAATAGAAACATTTTACTCCTATCCTTATGGGTAAAATGTAGTCATAAGAGTCAAAGTCGACAGATATTAAAACACCTCATGAGCAGTTAAGAGTTACCAGCAGGTGTATAGAAAATACAAAAATGAAGCGACTCAGTGGTTCCTGCGCCACATGCAATTGCTTTGGAGTTGTTCAAATAATGTTTTGATATTTCTACCTGATCAATCAATCAATAAATAATCTGGACCTACAGTGCATTCGGAAAGTATTCAGACCCATTGACCTTTTCCATTTTGTCACGTTAAAGCCTTACTCTAAAATGTTTTTTTTTTTTGTATCCATCAATCTACACACAATACCCCATAATGACAAAGTGAAAACAGGTTTAGACATTTTTGCAAATGTACTACACATAAAAAACAGAAATACCTTATTTATATAGTATTCAGACCCTTCACTATGAGATTCGAAATTGAACTCAGGTGCATCCTGTTTCCATTGATCATCCTTGAAATGTTTCTACAACTTGATTGGAGTCCACCTGTGGTAAACTAAATTGATTGGACATGATTTGGAAAGGCACACACCTGTCTATATAAAAGGTCCCACAGTTGACAGTGCATATCAGAGCAAAAACCAAGCCATGAGGTCGAAGGAATTGTCCGTAGAGCTCCGAGACAGGATTGTGTTGAGGCACAGATCTGGGGAAGGGTACCAAAAAATGTCTGCAGCATTGAAGGTCCCCAAGAACACAGTGGCCTCAATCATTCTTAAATGGAAGATGTTTGGAACCACCAAGACTTTTCCTAGTGCAGGCTGCCTGGCCAAGCGGAGCAATCGGGGGAGAAGGGTCTTGGTCAAGGAGGTGACCAAGAACCCGATGGTCACTCAGACAGAGCTCCAGAATTCCTCTGTGGAGATGGAATAACCTTCCAGAAGGACAACCATCTCTGCAGCGCTCCACCAATCAGGCCTTTATGGTAGAGTGGCCAGGAATTTGCCAAAAGGCACCTAAAGGACTCTCAGACCATGAGAAACAAGATTCTCTGGTCTGATGAAACCAAGATTGAACATCTGGAGGAAACCAGGCACCGCTCATCACCTGGCCAATACCATCCCTACGGTGAAGCATGGTGGTGGCAGCATCATGCTGTGGGGATGTTTTTCAGTGGCAGGGACTGGGAGACTAGTCAGGATCGAGGGAAAGATGAACAGAGCAAAGTACAGAGAGATCCTTGATGAAAACCTGCTCCAGAGCACTCAGGACCGCAGACTGGGGCAACGGTTCACCTTCCAACAGGACAGCGACCCTAAGCACACAGCCAAGGCAACGCAGGAGTGGCTTCGGGACAAGTCTCTGAATGTCCTTGAGTGGCCCAGCCAGAGCCCGGACTTGAACCCGATCTAATATATCTGGAGAACCTGAAAATAGCTGTGCTGCGACGCTCCCCATACAACCTGACAGAGCTTGAGAGGATCTGCAGAGAAGAATGGGAGAAACTCCCCAAATACAGCTGTGCCAAGCTTGTAGCGTCATACCCAAGAAGACTCCAGGCTGTAATCGCTGCCAAAGGTGCTTCAACAAAGTACTGAGTAAAGGGTCTGAATACGTATGTAAATGTAATAGTTTATTTACTTATTTAGGGGTCTGAACACTTTCCGAATGCACTGTACATGCAATAGTATCTCTTGTGCTTTTGACAATGGCCTATTTCACTTGATATGCCTAAATACTTAGAACCACTAGGATAATAAATCCACATCATGCTATTTAAAGTTAGCCATTTGGAGCGCAACATCGCGTAGTAAAAAAAAATCTAAACTGGGGATGCCTAGAAGTTGGGCAATTGAAGGCATCTAGGGCTTATGTTAACTTATACTGAACAAAAATATATATGCAACAATTTCAAAAATATGTACTGTTACAGTTCATATAAGGAAATCAGTCAATTGAAAGAAATTAATTAGGCCCTAATCTATGGATTTCACATGACTGGGCAGGGGTGCCGCTATCCGCCAGCCAATCAGAATGAGTTTTTCCCCACAAAAGGGCTTTATTACAGACCAAAATATTCCTCCGTTTCATCAGCTGTCTGGTTGGCTGGTCTCAGACAATCCTGTAGGTGAAGAAGCTGGATGTGGAGGTCCTGGGCTGGCGTGGTTACACGTGGCCTGCGGTTGTGAGGCCGGTTGGCAGTACTGCCAAATTCTCTAAAACGGCTTTGGAGGCGGCTTATGGTAGGAAAATTAACATTCAATTCTCTGGCAACAGCTCTGGTGGACATTCCTGCAGTCAGCATGCCAATTGCACCCTCCCTCAAAACGTGAGACATCTGTGGCAGTGTTGTGTGACAAAATTGCACATTTTAGAGTGGCCTTTTATTGTCCCCAGCACAAGGTGCACCTGTGTAATAATCACTGTTTAATCAGTTTCTTGATATGCCACACTTGTCAGGTGGATGATTATCTTGAAAAAAATTTAAATGCTCACTAACAGGGATGTAAACAAATTTGTGCACAACATTTGAGCGAAATAAGCTTTTTGTGCATATGGAAAATTTCTGCAATCTTTTATTTCAGCTCATGAAACATGGGACCAAAACTTTACATGTTGCATTTATATTTCTGTGCAGTATAGATTGTGTTCGATGAAATTATAGACCTTTCAAACGTTGTATGCAACCTTATCGGCAAGTGACTTGATACCTACAGTGGCAAAGCGATTTAGAATTGTTAAAAGTGAGTGACGAGTGTGTTGACAAATGGAAATTATTGTACAATTTCCACTTTTAACATCCATCAGAATTGGTTAAAAAAAAGCCAACATAATATAATAATTAAGAGTAGGCAAAGTGATTGTGAAAATTATATCAAAGTTGTATTGCAACACATGCAGTCACATTTACCGTGGTTGTCTGAAGCGACACGTGCTATAAAATTCACAGCTGCCGATGCCTCATCGCGATATGTGTCATCACTATCTTTCCTTTGCGGTACCTCCAACTGTCGTGATTACCAGCTGAGATAAACCTTTTATGAGTTGATTTTACTCCTGATTCAGACTTTGTCTGGGCAGTGTCTTAACATCATCCGAAAACCTACCCTGAGCTGGGAGTTTGTCTTAAAACAGGTTTAACAGGATTCCTAAGACATTTTCTGAGATGCTTTGTGGACACGGGCCCAGGTATTGATCAGCATGGATTGCCTTTCAGTCAAGAGAAACGACAACAGTGATCAACTCTCACAGATTTCTCTGTGTAGGAGAGCATCCTCTTACATGGTCCCAGTTGTGGAGGCTGGGGAGGTAGATGCGTCCTCTGGCGTCCACGTGCTTCCCCTCCCTGATGACCATGTTGGTGGTGGGCCTCAGCAAGCAGATAGGAGGGGTGAAGGGGAAGGAGTCCATCAGCCACAGCAGGATGGGCAGGTTGTATGAACGGCCTGGGAATTATACAGCATGGAATACAGAATTTACTGTACAGTGCCATCGGAAAGTATTCATACCCCTTGACATTTTCCACATTTTGTTACGTTACAGCCTTATTCTAAAATTGATTAAAAAATAAATAAATTCTCAATCTACACACAATACCCCATAATGACAAAGCGAAAACAGGTTTAGACATTTTTGCAAATTGATTAAAACATTTTTTAAAAAACAGAAATATCTTATTTACACAAGTATTCAGACCCTTTGCTATGAGACTTGAAATTGAGCTCAGGTGCATCCCGTTTCCATTTATCATCCTTGAGATGTTTCTACAACTTGATTGGAGTCCACCTGTGGTAAATTCAATTGATTGGACATGATCTGGAAGGCACGCTACACCCGCAATAACATCTGCTAAACACGTATGTGACAAATAAAAAATTTGATTTGATGCTGTGGGAATGTTTTTCAGCGGCAGGGACTGGGAGACTAGTCAGGACTGAGGGAAAGATGAACAGAGCAAAGTACAGAGAGATCCTTGATGAAAACCTGCTCCAGAGCGCTCAGGACCGCAGACTGGGGCAACGGTTCACCTTCCAACAGGACAATGACCATAAACACACAGCCAAGACAACACAGGAGTGGCTTAGGGACAAGTCTCTGAAAGTCCTTGAGTGGCCCATCCAGAGCCCGGACTTGAACCCAATCGAACAGCTCAGGAGAGACCTCAAAACAGCTGTGCAGCTACGCTCCCCATCCAACCTGACAGAGCTTGAGAGGATCTGTAGAGAAGATAGGGAGAAACTCCCCAAATGCAGGTGTTCCAAGCTTGTAGCTTCATACCCAAGAAGACTCAATGCTGTAATCGCTGCCAAAGGTTCTTCAACAAAGTACTGAGTAAAGGGTCTGAATACTTATGTAAATGTAATATTTCGGGGGGGGGGGGGGGGGGGGGTCAACTTTAGAATAAAGCTGTAATGTAACAAAATGTGGAAAAAGTAAAGGGGTCTGAATAGTTTCCGAAGACACTGTACATTAACAGTAAAGCCATCTAACTCTGATAAGGATTGAGTCTGCGATATAACCATTCAGCTACAATCAGTCAGTACTTGGTTGACGATAACAGTGGTGGTGTTGAACCTTGGTAGTGGACGGGGAAACTCCAAGTAAACTCAGTTCACGTTAGATACATGTTTTTGTATTAGGGTTTAACTATTTACCCATCAATTTTTTTAACACTAACATGTTTGATAAGACTCACCTTCATATTTCACAGGTATGTTGCCAATCAACTTCAGCAGATCTTTTTGGGTGCCATCACTGAAAGCTTAGAAACCGGTGATTTATGTTTAAGATATTTGACAGATACAGAAACAGTCTGTACAATCAAACTCTTCACTGAAGGAACATTAGGAGGTGATCACTCTTCACTGAAGGACCATTAGGAGGTGATCATTCTGATGAAGCCAACTTACTGTATGTGCCAGTTACTGGTTTCATCGCGGGATGAATCTGGTGAACTTTCTTCAGCTCCTCAATAGCAACATCACGAAACTTGTACTGATATAATAAATAAAAAAGATGACATGATGCGATTTAATTGCATAGTTATAGTTAGCTAACTAATTAGCTAGATACCAGAACAATGTTTAGTAAGGACAATGAAATGGAGACATCTGAATTTCATGGAAACATAACTTGTGGTCTATTTACTTCAGACTTCCTTTAAGAGCCTGAGTAGCCTGCAACAAAGCTGTTTTACCGGCAGTTATCTGATCAAATTGACAATAGTAGGAGTAAACGGGTATTTAAACAAACACTAACCAGCTAGCCACACAGAACGAACGAAGACAGAAAAGGATACAACTTTGACACAAACCCTTGACAGTATCTTCTGTATTGCTTCCGGACTGAGATCCATGGTTTACCATCTGTTGATTAATCACGTGTAGCGTAGGAATAATCAGGTTCTGTTATTTGAAGGAACCAGCCCAAACTCGCTTTAAATAACTTGGCAGCAAAACACAAACTTCCGCAAAGTAAAAAGGGGCGTGTCATTCCAAGGTACGGCAAGCCGAAAGGAAGTTCTTAACTCAGCACCTCAATCGAGATATAATTTCTCAGAACAGTAATCTGAAACGTAATTTAACATTGGAATTTAAATCTACAACCAGTCTGTTTGTGTGAAGAATCAAAGATGAATACCTTCGTTTCAGATAACCTATTATTAGAGGAAGCATATTTTTAGTAGTGAGCATATTTTTTGTAATCAATTATGTGATAATTCCAGAGAAGCTCACCTACAACATATCAGAATGAGAAATATCTCGTGTTTGAAAATAATGTTATATATCTGCATGGTCATGGACAACACTCACATTGCCTATAACATTGTCAAATTGGTGAAACATTCATACAATATTCAATATTCCTTTCAATAGTATTTTTCCACCACCGAGAGATTTTAATTTGCTTCAGTATAAAATGAATGCTATTTTGTTCTATAAAAGGACCAGGAATGATTGAATGAATTTCTATTTAAATTAGCAGTCAGGCTGCTAAACAAATAATTTAGCATCGTATGGTTTTAGAGATGAAAATAATATAACACTGGGGGGAAAAAACAGCAAAGGCACACCACACAAGCAAATGAAAACCATCAGCCAACAAGTTATGTCAAATCTTTTTAACAAGAAAAAAGAAACTTTCATGAAATGGCTCTGGCAATGTCTCTTCCTCTCCATCATTAAAGGGGCAATCTGCAGTTGCTACATCCATTTTCTGAATTATAAATTAATTATATGTACCCATTGATTCTTGAGGAATATAACATATTAATGCCTCATGAGCTTTAGTTCAACAGTCATATCCACTCAGAACACAAAATATAAGCTTGTTTTACTCCAAATGTATGAAAACAAAGTAAACGTAAATAAACACTATTAGAATCAAAACATGGTTAAAACTATACTTTTGATATCATGGATGGTCAGTCCTTGCATCCATAGCCTATGAATTTGAGAGTGGTTACATGTCTCCAGCCCCATCCCACAGCTTTTTACTGAGGCGGGGACTCCGCTTTATTGTTTCAACTACCGATTGCCCCTTTAAAATTAAAGAATAAAAAATGGACCAGTGAGTTTCGGTTCTGTATGGGGAAAAATACAACATGATTGCCGTTCACAACTTGGCAAGGCAATCACATTTTACATGATAGCTCTGTCATTTTCTATGGGTTTCAAAAATAGCAGGGCATAATCTGCACCGTATTATATTAAATAGTCTCTTTGCAGCTCAGCTAGTAAAAGACTGAAAGACTCGATAGTGCAACCCTGCCCCTTTCCAGCTGGAAAAATAAATAATGTAACAGAAGCAAGTGGCCACTGGTCTGACCACCCCATTCCACTCCAGGGTGAAGTTTCCCCTAGGTGCAGATCTAGAATCAGCTTCCCCTCCCCCAATACTAACCACTAGTGGGGAAAATGCTAAACTGACTCAGGAGCAACGTCTAGCGGCAACTTCACCCTACACCACCCCATCTCAACCCCCTCCTACTCCAGGAAATGGCTGCATTGTGTTCGTGTGTTAAAGTTAGTGTCCTCAAACTTTTTTTCGTTTCGCATTCATTGCCATTTTCTTTTTCATCTCTTCCTCCTCCAAGCGCAACTCTTCCTCATCCTCCTTGATACCCAGGCGTAAACTGGGAGAAGTGGAGACAAAAACAAAACAGGAGATTTGTTAACACATGCAGACACAACCACTGTCTTAACTTAAGTCGGCTTCCACTTGTTTCTCGTCAAAGATGGGACAAGGAATATGTTTTTAGGGCTTCAATTCATTTTCTTCCTCTTGGCCATATTCCGTTTGAGTTGCTCCTCCTCTCGTCTCTCCTCTTCCTGATCTTCAAAAACAGCCATTTTCAGGCTAACAGGACAGGGCGAGGCACAGGGGGCATAGCACAGGAGCACACACATAGAGACAGAACACAGGAATGAGTGAGTTTAATCCATAATCTGGCAAAACAAGCAATGGACTGAGGGTGGCAAGTCTTGGTTCTGGAAGGCTGCAGTGTGTGCAGGCTTTGGTTTCGAACCAGCCCAGCTGTAACATACCTGATAAAACGTATTGACGTCTAAATGGAAGACTACGGTTAGTGGATTATTTGAATCAGGCTAAAAACACTTGCAGCCCTCCAGGACCAGGGTTGACCAGCCCTGCAATTGACAAACACCTGCACTGCAGGCATTGCTCTATGGAACCCTCTACCACGTCTGTAGAAATGGCAATAGGGCTGACCCCATTTAATCAAATGGTCTATTGTTTGGTCGATAGGTTGTTGGTCGACAGATTTTTTAAATAGAGCAGTCGCAAATTGTATATATTTTTATTTTATGGCACACGAGAAACCTGTCTGATTCCCGCCTGTCTCAGTGGACTAATCCACTGCGGAGGCAGCGGGGATGGCAAAGTCATTCTGCAACGCAAGGCACGCCTGCCAGATATGCCTTGGCACGCCAATACATTTGATAAAATGGAGAATGAGACAATAAGTGAAATTGGTTTTCCATAATGCCTACTGCTTTGGACCTGACACCGTTTGAGAGAGTATTCCTTAGGACTACAGTATGTGTGAATATAATGTGTATTGGGTATAATTTAAAATGTTGCGACATGAAGGGGAGTGTGGCTAAAATGCACAAGGCATGTCTCTCTCCAGACAATTCAAGCGCATTCATTGTTTCGTAACATCATTTTGTGAATTGTTTGCCGTTTGATAGTTAGCGTCTATCAATTCCCCATTACCAGTAGTACATTTACTGTTAATCCCCATCATTTCTAATCTACGATGTTTGTTTGGTTACGGTAATTTCTGTTAATGCATTCAATATATTATTACTGTTGTTTACCATTCTGATTGTCGGAGAGGACACGTTGTTTGCAGAGCTCACAACCTATGCTACACTTGTGAGAAACAAGTTTGGGTTTATGTCATTCCATTTACGAGTTTTGTCAATTTATTCACGTGTTTTGTTTGGACCGCTCCTGTCAATGTTGAGGGCGCGCACCTGTTTACCCATACAAATTCTAATTTACTCAACCATGGATAGGTTATTCCAAGTTTCCGTGTGGCCTTTGTATAATGTAAGTTTAAACAGCGCAAACGTTCTATTGATTTCAATATGTAAATGATATGAGTGATTAACAAAAAAGTATTGTGTTACACTTATTGCGTTGGCGATCCCACTTCAATCAAAATACAACACTTTGAAATGTAGCTGGCTGTCATCTACAAGTTGTCCTCTATGAGTGATATATAAATTATTCCCAGATTCTGTGTGGTTTTTGAGCTGTGCTAGTTTTAACAGGACGCGCAAACGGATATCCCCCCTCTCGCTCTATTGATTTCAACGTGATATCGATATGAGTAATTGACAAAAGTGTTTCAAATCAAATTTTATTTGTCACATGCGCCGAATACAACAGGTGTAGACCTTACAGTGAAATGCTTACTTACAAGCCCTTAACCAACAATGCAGTTTTAAGAAAAATAAGTGTTGATTAAAAAACATAACAAAAATAATAATAAATAATTAAAGAGCAGCAGTAAAATAACAGTAGCGAGGCTATATACAGGGGGTACCGGTACAAAGTTGATGTGTGGGGACACAGGTTAGTCGAGGTAATTGAGGTAATATATACACTACCGTTCAAAAGTTTGGGGTCACTTAGAAACGTCCTTGTTTTCGAAAGAAAAGCAATTTTGTTGTCCATTAAAATAACATAAAATTGACCAGAAATACAGTGTAGACATTGTTAATGTTGTAAATGGCCATTGCAGCTGGAAACGGCTGATTTTTAATGGAATATCTACATAGGCGTACAGAGGCCCATTATCAGCAACCATCAGTCCTGTGTTCCAATGTCACGTTGTGTTTGCTAATCCAAGTTAATCAATTTAAAAGGCTAATTGGTCATTAGAAAACCCTTTTGCAATTATGTTAACACAGCTGAAAACTGTTGTGCTGATTAAAGAAGCAATAAAACTGGCCTTCTTGAGACTAGTTGAGTACCTGGAGCATCAGCAATTGTGGGTTCGATTACAGAATCAAAATGTCCAGAAACAAATAACTTTCTTCTGAAACAGTCTATTCTTGTTCTGAGAAATGAAGGCTATTCCATGCGAGAAATTGCCAAGAAACTGAAGATCTCGTACAACGCTGTGTACTACTCCCTTCACAGAACAGCGCAAACTGGCTCTAACCAGAATAGAAAGAGGAGTGGGAGGCCCCGGTGCGCAAGAGGAACAAATACATTAGTGTCTAGGTTTGAGAAACAGGAGCCCTCAACGGTCCCTCAACTGGGCACTTCATTTAAATAGTGACCTGCAAACACCAGTCTCCACGTCAAACAGTTGAAGAGGCGACTCCGGTGATGCTGTGACCATTCTAGGCATGAGTTGCAAAGACAAACAGCCATATCTCAAACTGCCATCATGTTTTAATAAAAAAAACTTTTTTTTTTTCATTTTTTTTTTTTTTTTAAAAAAAGACATTTTTTTTTATTTTTTTTTTAATCTTTCTTTTTATTGCCAGCCTGAGATATGTACGAGATCTTCAGTTTCTTGGCAATTTCTCGCATGGAATAGCCTTCATTTCTCAGAACAAGAATAGACTAACGAGTTACAGAAGAAAGTTCTTTGTCTCTGGTCATTTTGAGCCTGTAATCGAACCCACAATTCCTGATTCCTGATTAAAAATGTCTACACTGTATTTCTGATCAATTTGATGTTATTTTAATTGGACAAAAAAAAAGGCTTTTCTTTCGAAAACAAGGAAATTTCTAAGTGACCCCAAACTTTTGAACGGTTGTGTACATGTAGCTAGAGTTAAAGTGACTATGCATAGATAATAAACAGAGTAGCAGCAGAGTAAAAGAGGGGGGGGGGCAATGCAAATAGTCTGGGTAGAAATTTGTTTAGATGTTCAGGAGTCTGATGGCTTGGGGGTAGAAGCTGTTAAGAAGCCTTTTGGACCTAGCTCCGGTACCACTTGCCGTACGGTAGCAGAGAGAACAGTCTATGACTAGGGTGGCTGGAGTCTTTGAGGGGGAATAGGCTTTGTCGTGCCTCTTCACGACTGTCTTGGTGTGTTTGGACCATGATAGTTTGTTGGTGATGTGGACACCAAGGAACTTGAAGCTCTCAACCTGCTCCACTACAGCCCTGTTGATGAGAATGGGGGCGTGCTCGGTCCTCTTTTTCCTGTAGTCCACAATCATCTCTTTTGTCTTGATCACGATGAGGGGGAGGTTGTTATCCTGGCACCACACGGCCAGGTCTCTGACCTCCTCCCTATAGGCCGTCTTGTCGTGTTCGGTGATCAGGCCTACCACTGTTGTGTCGTCGACAAACTTAATGGTGTTGGAGTCGTGCCTGGCCATGCAGTCATGGGTGAACAGGGAGTACAGGAGAGGACTGAGCACGCACCCCTGAGGGGCCCCCGTGTTGAGGATCAGCGTTGCAGATGTGTTATTACCTACCCTTACCACTTGGGGGTGGCCCGTCAGGAAGTCCAGGATCCAGTTGCAGAGGGAGGTGTTTAGTCCCAGGGTCCTTAGCTTAGTGATGAGCTTTGAGGGCACTATGGTGTTGAACGCTGAGCTGTAGTCAATGAATAGCATTCTCACGTAGCTGTCCTTTTGTCCAGGTAGGAAATGGAAGTCTGGAGTGCAAGAGAGATTGCATCACCTGTGGATCTGTTGGGGGGGTATGCAAATTGGAGTGGGTCTAGGGTTTCTGGGATAATGGTGTTGATGTGAGCCATGACCAGCCTTTCAAAGCACTTCATGGCTACAGACGTGAGTGCTACGGGTCAGTAGTCATTCAGGCAGGTTACCTTTGTGTTCTTGGGAACAGGGACTATGGTGGTCTGCTTGAAACATGTTGGTATTACAGACTCAGTCATGGACAGGTTGAAAATGTCAGTGAAGACACTTGCCAGTTGGTCAGCGCATACTCAGAGTACACGTCCTGGTAATCCGTCTGGCCCTGCAGCCTTGTGAATGTTGACCTGTTTAAAAATATCTTACTCCCATCGGCTACGGAGAGCGTGATCACACAGTCGTCCGGAACAGCTGATGCTATCATGCATGCTTCAGTGTTGCTTGCCTCGAAGCGAGCATAGAAGTAATTTAGCTAGTGGAGTAAAGATGGTTTAAGTTTTTTTCCCTCTGGTTGCACATTTAACATGCTAGTAAAAATAAGGTAGAACGGATTTAAGTTTCCCTGCATTAAAGTCCCCGGGCACTAGGAGCGCCACCTCTGGATGAGCGTTTTTCTGTTTGCTTATGGCCTTATACAGCTAATTGAGTGCGGTCTTAGTGCCAGCATCGGTTTGTGGTGGTAAGTAGACAGCTAAGAAAAATATAGATACAAACTCTCTTGGTAAATAGTGTGGTCTACAGCTTATCATGATATACTCTACCTCAGGCGATCAAAACTTCCGTAATATTAGATTTTGTGTACCAGCTGTTGTTTACAAATATACACAGACCACCACCCCTTGTCTTACCGGAGGCTGGATGATCATCAAGAATCTTGGAAGAACGTTCTATGGACAGATGATTCAAAAGTATAACTTTTTGGACGACATGGTGGTGGTGTGATGGTTTGGGGATGCTTTGCTGCCTCAGGACCTGGACAACTTGCCTTAATAGAAGGAACCATGAATTCTGCTCTGTATCAGAGAATTCTACAGGAGAATGTCAGACCATCCGTCTGTGAGCTGAAGCGCAGCTGGGTCATGCAGCAAGACAATGATCCAAAACACACAATCAAGTCTACATGAAAATTGCTAAAAAGCAACAAATTGGAAGTTTTGGAATGGCCTAGTCAAAGTCCAGACCTAATCCCATTGAGATGTTGTGGCAGGACTTGAAACAAGTAGTTCATGCTTGAAAACCCACACATCACTGAGTTAAAGCAGTTCTGCATGGAAGAGTGGGCCAAAATTCCTCCACAGCGACGTGAGAGACTGATCAACAACTACAGGAAGCATTTGGTTTGAGTCATTGCAGCTAAAGGTGGCACAACCAGTTATTGAGTGTAAGGGGGCAATTACTTTTTCACACAGGGGAATTGGGTGTTGCATAACTTTGTTTATGAAATAAATTAAATAAATATGTGATTGTTGTGTTATTTGTCCACCTATGTTCCCTTTATCTAATATTAGGTTTTGGTTGAAGATCTGATAACATTCAGTATCACAAATATGCAAAAGTAGAGAAAATTAGAAAGGGGGCAAATACTTTTTCACAGCACTGTATCTCCCGTTTCCATGTGTTATTTTAGTTGTGTTAGTTTCAAGAACGCGTATAGTTTATAGGGTGCTTGTTTAAAAAAAAAAAAGTAATATTATAATTGCACGTGTACATTTTAGGTTTTCAATATATCACGAACTGTTTCTGCATATTGGTTATTGATTTGGACACGTTAAAGCTGTGTTTTGCAATATGGCTATCGATCAAAATGTCTTGTCAACAGGAAGCAGTGACAGCATGATTTTCAACTTAAGTTTTAAGAATATAAAATGTAACTTTGAAAAATAATTTCCAATGGTATTGTACTTAAATCTGGTAAAAACTGCTGAATGAGTCCAAAAACATGTTGTGATTGATTTATTTTGATAATATACCAGAAATCACCTAATCAGGATTGCCCTGCCTACTAGCGCGAGCTTTGGACCGACCCAGTTGATAGTTCGTTGCAGAGAAGCGGAGTAGAGCGATGCGATTGAAAGAAAATGAACAAACTGCCATCTGTAGTCAATGTGATTTATAGGATATTTATTTTTATCTGGATATTTTCTACCTGTAATGTTTTTATTTGTAGGCTTTATGTAGGGTATTTTTACCTAGTTTGCAAGAGAAGTTACTTGCGTTGGTATATAAACCTACAGTGCATTTGTAAAGTATTCAGACCCCTTGACTTTTTCCACATTTTGTTACGTTAAAGGCTTATTCTAAAATGGATTAAAAAATAATACTCCTCTATCTACACACAATACCCCATAATGACAAAGCAAAAACAGTTTAGGAAAATGTATAAAAAATTTAAAAAACATTTACGTAAGAATTCAGACCCTTTGCTATGAGACTCGAAATTGAGCTCAGGTGCATCCTGTTTCCATTGATAATTCACAACTCGATTGGAGTCCACCAGTGGTAAATTCAATTGCTTGGACATGATTTGGAAAGGCACAGACCTGTCTATATAAGGTCCCACAGTTGACAGTGCATGTCAGAGCAAAAACCAAGCCATGAGGTCGAAGGAATTGTCCGTAGAGCTGCGAAACAGGACAGTATCGAGGCACAGATCTGGGGAAGGGTACCAAAACATTTCTGCAGCATTGAAGGTCCCTAAGAACACAGTGGCCACCATCATTCTTAAATGGAAGAAGTTTGGAACCACCAAGACTTCCTAGAGCTGGCCGCCCCGCCCAACTGAGCAATCCGGAGAGAAGGGACTTAGTAAGAGAGGTGACCAAGAACCCAATGGTGACTCTGAAAAAGCTCAAGAGTTCCTCTGTGGAGATGGGAAAACCTTCCAGAAGGACAACCACCTCTGCGGCACTCCACCAATCAGGCCTTTATGGTAGAGTGGCCAGACGGAAGCCACTCCTCAGTAAAAGGCATGACAGCCCGCTTGGAATTTGCCAAAAGGCACTTAAAGGACTCTCAGACCATGAGAAACAAGATTCTCTGGTCTGATGAAACTAAGATTGAACGCATTGGCCTGAATGCCAAGCATCACGTCTGAATGCATCACGTCTGAATGAAACCTGGCACCATCCCTACGGTGAAGCATGGTGGTGGCAGCATCATGATGTGGGGATGTTTTTTAGCGGCAGGGACTGGGAGATTTGTCAGGATCGAGGGAAAGATAAATCCTTGATGAAAACCTGCTCCAGAGCGCTCAGGACCTCAGACTGGGACGAAGGTTCACCTTCCAACAGGACAACGACCCTAAGCACACAGCCAAGACAACGCAGGATTGGTTTCGGGACAAGTCTCTGAATGTCCTTGAGTGGCCTAGCCAGAGGCCGGACTTGAACCTGATCGAACATCTCTGGAGAGACCTAAAAATAGCTGTGCAGCGACGCTCCCCATCCAACCTGACAGAGCTTGAGAGGATCTGCAGAGAAGAATGGGAGAAACTCCCCAAATACAGGTGTGCCAAGCTTGTAGCGTCATACCCAATAAGACTTGATGCTGTGATCGCTTCCAAAGGTGCTTCAACAAAGTACTCAATAAAGGGTCTGAATACTTGTGTAAATGTGATTTGTTTTTTTATTTGTAATACATTTGCTAAAATTTCTACAAATCTGTTTTTGCTTTCTCATTGTGGGGTATTGTGTGTAGAATGATGAGGGGGAAAAAACTATTGAATCAATTTTAGAATAAAGCTGTACTGTAACAAAATGTGGAAAAAGTCAAGGGGTCTGAATACTTTCCAAAGGCACTGTATATGGAATAATACACGTTTAAAAGTGTCGACCAATCAATTTGCCGAAATAAAATCTCGGTTGACCAAGATTTTCTTTAGTCAGGGACAGCCCTAACTGCCAACTGTGTATTATGTACTCAAGTCAAGTGGACCCAATTTAACACCCTGTGGGTTTGTCAATTGTCATAAAGAGAACAACATTCTGGTGCCGGATCCAAACCTATAGCCCCTTCTCCTGGGATATTAGCAGATTTGAAAGGGCATGTTAAATGTAAACAATAGATTGATGGGTACACCAAAGGGGTAGGGACTAGCGGTTGTTTTTGGACCAGTCCATCTCCCCCACCAACGGCTTACCTCCTAGCCTCCTCTTTTTGCTGGTCCCTCCAACTGCTCTCCATGAACTTTAATGCATAGTCACTCTCCTCTTTGTATCTACGGCAGAAAAGCACACAAAACACATTACTCAGGACCTTGAAGTAGAATGGAACAAACCACAAGCTACACCAAGTCCTTTTGAGTGACTTCAAAAAGCTTAAACACTAGTGAAAAGCAGTTAACTGGGAACTTCAAACAAGCAGAGGACATAACTATAGACAACCTCCATCGATCTTTAAAAACAGCCATCACACTTCTAGGGTTATTTGAAGAAGACCTTGACAGTGTATGTGTGTTTCTAGGGGGTTTAGGGTTAGAATTAGGGTTAAAGGTTAGGGTTCTGGAAAATAGGATTTTATATGGGAATCAATTGTGTCCCCACAAGGTCAGTACAACCATACTGTCTCTGTGTGTGTGTGTGTGTGTGTGTGTGTGTGTGTGTGTGTGTGTGTGTGTGTGTGTGTGTGTGTGTGTGTGTGTGTGTGAGCGTGAGAGAGCCTTACTTGGTCCGGTCGTAGCCAAAGATTTCCTTGATGTGTTTGGAGATTGTGTCTTGGTCCTCCCCTTCATCGTCGATGAAGTCCTCCATCTCAGAGTCGTACTCCTCCTCGTCCTCGTACTTCCTCTTGTAGGCAGAGGTGATTGGTGAACGAATTGTGCCTGGGGAGAACAGAGGTGTATTCATTAGTGCACACAGTGGTAAAACGTTTTGCACAATAGCAACACCTTTTGCAACGGAAAACGAAAACAAGTGTTTATTTCAAATCCGGGTAGTCCCTTCCCGTTTCGGTCCACTTACTTCCGTTTGCTTCCTAGTGAACACACCCTGGAAAATATGCCTGTGTAAGAGAGGTCTAGAATGGGGGAAGGGAGGCTGACCATTAGAGCTGGGCAATTTGGACAAAAATCCATATCACAATAAATTGACTGAATTATCGTAACGATAAATTTAACGATACGTTTTAAAAATGTATAAGCACCAGTTACTTTTTAGTGGGACTTGCGACAGCAAACATCCCACTCTAAATCTTTGTCATACGTCTAACATAGTTATTATTATTCTTTGGAACGCCACTCTTCTTACACCGTTTAAGCTAGAAACACCATTCAAACTTTAAAACGTGTAGACTGGTCTGGAATAGTGTGCTTTGATATCTTTTTTATACTTTTTAAACCATTGTTTTTTGTACTCCATCCACTTTAAAAAGGGAATTCCTCAACATTCTAAAGGGCACATTATGACTCAACATTCTATTCACTGTAAACAATGCAACATTTGACACAAATCAGCTATTTTGATCACTTTCCCAACAACAGACTGAAATCAGAACAAACATGTCTATCAATCTAACAATACAGCGGTTTTAATAGCGTCAACCCAAAAAAAATGCTACTTTTAACAAACTGAAATTCTGACCACTTTCCCAACAAGTTAGACAAAGTTACTTCTCTGCTATTCAAATCTGAAATCAGGACATAAATATATTCTACCAATCATACGGTACAGCTGTTATAGTAACCACATCAACGGCTTTCATTAAAGATGCAGTAAGTTAAGTCTGAATTTAGCAGAATCATTACCAACAGCTGCAAATTCCAATAAAACGACATCACGTTAAGTTAACTTTCCTTGCTTTTTCTCATGAATCTACAAATGAAGTTGTGGGTCAGAGTACAGTATTTATTTCATAGCACAAACTGTAATTTAACTTTGTTGTTGACACTTCCCAGGGTACCATAGCAACATTTTGTCTCACTGTGCATTAATAGCCCTGCTAACTCAGTCACAAACACATTGAAACCAGTACACACACACTCCTTCCATTGTCATAGTTTAAAGGCACCGAACCGATCATTGTCTGTGGCGACTTCAACAAGGATCTGGTGTCCAGGTCGAGAAAGAAAGCCCATCTTGAGGTTGTTTCAGGAGAGAGGGTACACTACACTAGAGACATCGCTCAGGTATGAATCTTGACCAAAACATTTGTATCACCATTTCACTGCTTGCATTAGTTCGGTCTTCATGTTAGTGTAAAAAAAACAATTAGTCCAATACTTTAAGTTGTGAAAGCAAAATATATTTTTTACAGTCTACATGCTCATGGTAAAAAAATTAACAATTATATTTCAAATAATGAATCTCAGGATGTAGGGCCCTATAAAATCAGCATTGCAGAAAACGTGGATGGAATCAAGGAATCCAGACATTAACCCTTCTCCTACAATTTCCACAGGCCCGTGGAAACCTAATTAACATATTTTTAAAAATCCATCTAAGCTAGAGATATTTTTTTGCATGAGGTGTCTCAATCCACCGCATCCACCGATATCGCCCTTCCGCGATATTGGCGATTTGTCAGACCATGAGACATCCCGAAAATTGGTCTAGTCACAAAAACGTCTAGCGTCGGAACGGTTTGGTCTACAAACTATTATGAACCCTCTCAGATATAGGACAGCCACTTCAGAACAAACTTCCTTTACATTTTTGGGGGGACTATCTGTTGTTCCATGTAGTGAATCTGTTATTCAATGCGTTTCTATGGGGTAATAGCAGTAACACCGAATTCAATGTTTCATCAAATAATTTCTTTAAATATATTTTGGGATACCTTAAGCGCTGTTAAAATTCAAAATCAAATAGCTAAATGATCCTTGGCATGACCATTTTATAACAATTTCATACGTTAGCTTAGTAGAACCCCCCCACCGCCCTCCCGGCATAGACTATAGAGTAACTATAGGAATTCAACAAAATTAAAAGAATGTATTGAACTTAGTAGGAAATCAACTAAATGTATTTTATTTTAAAAATGCATTAATTTGCCCATGTTAATCATTAGACTTGAACAAAATGCATCAGCGATTCATATTTTCCTGCAACCTTCTGAAATGGCACAGGAATGACCCTGTGTGTGTGTGTGTGTGTGTGTGTGTGTGTGTGTGTGTGTGCGATGCGCGCGTATATCTACACTTTGTGTAGTCGTTAGTGATGATACTGATAACCTTCTTCTGGTAGAGATGGAAAGGCTTTCCCAAAAACCTTCTCAATTAAATGTTAACTACAAATTAGCCTACTGTCGTTTTGACCACTTTCCCAACAACTTAGACAAAAGCATGACATTTTCTGCTATTCAAATCTGAACATAAATATCTTCACCCAATCAAACGATACAGCTGTTTTAGTAATAACAACAACTTTTCCTCTCAGCTTTTTTAAACAACTTCCGGTTTGACCAGAGAAAATCAGGAAGAGCCTAGTACAATTATTTTATTTAAATGACAAATCAGTTCCTGTGGTTTACACAAATTATTAAGTTTTCATAGGCACCCCACAGAAAAGGTATGAGAGGGGACATCTGTCCAGCAGAGGAAAGTTTGCTTTTGAGCCAAGGGTCACGAACAGTCATGTAACTTCGTCGATAACCTCATCCCCAGGCGGAAGAATCTGGGAATGAGATTACGTCATTGGTGACACTTCCCTGGTAGCCATAGCAACATTTTGTCAAGCTGGTCTCTCACTGCACATCAGTAATCGTGCTAACTCAGATCAAAATGTTATGTGGACATGTTTAGGGACCATAATATTGATGTGTGTGTGTGTTGTCTATGTAGAAAATGTGTTTATGAGCAAGTTAGCTAGCTATCATAGACATTGTTTGCCAAGTTAGCTTACATATTTTTTCAATGGACAACACTGGGATCATTACAGATCCTAATAGATACTGATGAACACTAAATCTAAAGTAATTGTTGATTATAGGACAACAAAGGATAGGGCTAATGATGGCTAAATAATAACATGTAGGCTAATTAACCTGCTGTAGCAAAAATATTTGTGTTTTGTGCATGAGAAAAAGTAAATGTCTCATTTGCAGCTCCATTTTGTCCACAAATCCATTGGTTAAAAGGTGAGTATGCAAAAATCACATTCCCATAAGGATATGAATGTTTGAGGCATTGCTTTGATTGTCTGTTGTATTCCAATGAATGAGAAGTCTTATCAGTATCTCCCCTTATTCTTACGGAGTACCACTACATGTACCCTCACACACATTTTATATTTGCTTGATTGAGCGTGCCTGGCTTAAAATAGTCCCAAAATTGCAAACCTCGCCCATCTGACACTCCAGGCAGGCTAGAGAAAACACTCAAAGTATAGTATTTGAACATAGGTCTGACACACACACACACTTTTCTTTGTTAACAGGTCTAAAGAATAATCCACACAATCTTCTGTGTCCCTGTCCGATTACGTAAGTCAGACAAAATCATGTCATGAACATTTCCAGCAAATACTATCAATTTTCTTTGTTTATAACTTCAAGTAGATTCAAATTCAACTCGACTTGATTTATGTGTCCCCCTGGGGGCAGAGGTGCTCCGAGGGAAGGGGTGCCCCTCTCCTGCCAGTTTGTCCCTCTTCCCACTCATCCTCCAGCCCAGAGAGGACTTCAAGAACATCCTGCTATCGTCCAAACCATAGTGATAAAATAAGGTTTCTTAATTCATTTTTAACTTCATCAATAGCTCGTCTTCTGTACTCCATTATTACAGTTTTCATATACTGTCGTATTCTAGTAGGAGAGTGTATAAAAGTGTAGTAGTCAGTATAGTTATTTCTGATTAAAATGTGTGATATAACTGCCCATAAGTCCAAAGTAATAAGGTTGATATAGTAATCTATCAAAGTAATCAGACCAATTATGTTACTAAATTTAACTGCTTCACTTAAGTAAGACGTTTTCAAATTATTCCACTACCACAAAAACACTTAAGTCCCACAATTGTTCTTCATTGAAAAAAATGTATCGCACTGCTTTGCTTTATCTTGGCCAGGTCGCAGTTGTAAATGAGAACCTGTTCTCAACTGGCTTACCTGGTTAAATAAAGGTAAATAATAAAAGTTTAAATGACCATTCAAACTACTCCTGCTACTTTAAAATGTTATCAAATGTCCTGTTAGCAATAGCCCATATCAGAAGACTTACTTAGTCCTCATTCATTTTAAACCTCACATTCCTAAAGTAAAGTAAAGGTCAGTAACTTGTCGTTATCGACTTCAGTAAAATGTCCTATATAGTATAAATGGTTGGTTTGGTCGTAATTTACTACATTTGACAACATATAGAACAGTATATTGCACGTCATTCTTGATTGAAGTATTTCTCATCCTATGGGCTGGTTTCCCAGACACAGATTAAGCCTAGTCCTGGACTAAAAAGCATGCTCAATGAAGATTCTCAATTGAAAGTGTCTTTTGGTCCAAGACTTGATCTGTGTCCGGGAAGCCAGCCCCAAATGAAGTATATTTCTATACAGTGCCTTCTGAAAGTATTCATACCCCTTGACTTATTCCATATTTTGTTGTGATACTGCCTGAATTCAAATTGGTTTAAATATTTTTTTTCTCACCCATCTACACACAATACCCCATAATGACAAAGTGAAAACATGTTTTTAGAAATGTTTCCAAATGTATTGAAAATTAAATACAGAATTATCTAATTTACATTATTCACACCCGAGTCAATACTTTTTAGAAGCACCTATGGTTGTTTGCACTCTGAAGCAGGTTCTCATCAAGGAATTGCCTGTTTTTGGCTCTATTCATTGTTCCCCAGATTTGCAGTGCTCATGTCTTCCACACAGCACTACAGGCCAAGACATTAGCTTTATTATAGTGTTTTTACCCCCCTAATGTGTTTCATATTAGTACTTATTTATTCTGTATTGTCATAGAGTGACATCCTTTACGACCTTGCGCCAACGGAGCTGAAACCGTCACACTAAATATTTTAGATTAGCTCGCTGTCAGGTCTAATATTTTCTCCTTCTGGTCCTTACCTTGCGGTGTCATCATTGGTCTGGGCTGCATGCCAGGTCTAGGTGGCATCCCTGGCCTACTAGGTGGCATCCCTGGCCTACTAGGTGGCATGCCTGGCCTACTAGGTGGCATGCCTGGCCTACTAGGTGGCATGCCTGGCCTACTAGGTGGCATGCCTGGCCTAGGTGGAATGCCTGGCCTCTGGGGCGCTCCCCTGCCTCCACCAAAGGTCTTGGATGAGATGGTCTCGGCAACCAAAGTGCACTTGGGTCTCCCAGGCCCAGAGCCCATACTGATGGGTGGCCGCCTTGGCACGAGTCCCTCACCCCCAGGCCGATTGGGTGCGTTCCCTGGAGGTCTGACCCCTCCGTCACCAAGGCGACCCTGGACACTACCGCCACCCGGCCTGGCCTGAGGTGGGCCCCCTGGCCTGGGAGGACCGCCTGCTGTGGGTCTCATCTGTCCGTTACTCCCTGGTCTTGCCGTGGAGCTACCACCAGGTCGCGCCGGTTCTCCCTTTCCGGATCTGGAGGGTCCTCCCCTTCCTGAGCTGCCCTGGCTGGCTCGAGCCTGCCCCAAAGAGCCCCCTTGCTGTGATCTGCTTTGGCCCAAAGCCTGTGGTCTAGCCTGGACTGAACTCGGAGCTGTGCTGGGTCTCATCCCGGAGCTGCTGGGTCGCCCCGGAGGTAGTGAGGGGTTTCCCTTCCTGGGGGTGTTAAGGTCACTTGTGGCGGTGGGTTTGTGGCCTGCTGAGGAGGGCCTGGGTGTGGGGTGTTTGGCTGAGACCTGAGAGAAGGCTCCTTTGGTGGGGGCTTTGCTGCTTAAGGCACCTGACAAGCTGGAAGAGGAGCTCTGAGAAGGTTTTGCTTTGGGCTTCTCTCTATTTCGGTCTCTGTCTCTGTCCTGTGACGGCTTGGCAGAACCGTGGTGGCTTCTCTCGCTCGACGAGCAAGATGGCAGCGGGGGCTTTGGCTTCCTCCCCGACCCACTGGGGGCGGGCCTCTCCGACAAGCTCTTGTGTGGCTGCTTCCCGTTCCTTACGTCTCTGTCGGAAGTGCTTTTCCTTGAGGAGCTCGAGCTGGCCTGGGATTTGTCTCCTCCATCTCTGTTCCTATCTCTGTCCTTATGTCTGTCCCCATCTCTATCTCGGTCTCTCTCCTGGGGCCTGGAGTCTCTGCTACCTTTATCCGGTCTCTTAGCCTTGCGTTCCAGCTCCAGCTCCCGTATCTCATCTGCCGTCCGAAGCCTCTCCGGCTCGCTCTTCTTGCTCGGCTTGGCCTTCACCTCCACCGGCTCAAACTGCTTCTTCTGGGCCAGTTTGAGCAGCTCGGCAAAGTTCATGGGTGGAGGGGTGGGTTTAGACGGTCCGCTGGGTCTCTTTGAGGGCTTGGAGTTGGGAGCAGCCTGTCTGGGTCTCTGGGGTTCCGGTTCTGGCTCGGGCTCAGAGTCAGTCTGCGCGTATTCGTAGTTGTCCTCATCATCTTCATCGTAAGTGTCGCTCCTCTGCTGCTCTTCGCCCCTTTCCCCCTTTGATCTCCTCTTCTTGGGTTCCTCCACCACAGGGATGCCGTTGTAGCCCCTGAAGTTGTCCTTGGTTCGAGACGCCATCGCTCGAGCCTTGCGGTCAGACTTTAGCTCTACCCTTTTGGCGAGAAGCCCCTCTTTCTTTTTCATACTCATGGCCTCTGTGGAAAACATTACAACACATTTCAATTAACTCAAATGAGCATATTATATGCATCAGCATAAAAAAGCAACATAATTTCACACCTTTATTAAATACAGCGACAACGATTTTAAAACAAACCTTTCTTTTTACTCTCCATCTCTTGTTTCTTTAGGAAAGCCTGCACAGCTGCTGAGTTGACACCTTTCACTTTAGGGTCCTTTTTGGGTGGTCCAGTTTGTAAGCTGTACCGCTTCTGCAAAGAAATGCGAAATGAAAAGATTGAATAAAACAGATTAACATGGAATGGTTAGTTGTGTAATATACTAGTCGTTTGAGAAATTACTCATTTAAAAAAAGTTTGGGATACCTAAGACAAAAATCCTTATTTCCTGCCTTGGGAGAAATGTATATTCTCAAGCAAGGCTACATTAGCTGCTATCACGTCCATAAATAAGTCACTAGATACCTATGTTAATACATTCCACCACGTTTTAAAATATTAACGTTAGTGTAACATATAAGGCCATGTCCAAAGTTATAAGGCCGGGCCTCACCTCCACCACTAGGCACTACCAACATGGTTAACTAGCTAGAAAGCTGAATAGTTGACACATTCCCAAACGAATGGCTAGCTAGCACCCATTCTGGTCAGCAAGCTCAACGAATGACAGCCAACGTGGATGTCACTTAGCAGAGTTGATAAACGCTATGGAGACATTGAGCAGACTAGTTAGCTAGCTGATTGACTGGTTGTAATCATAACGTTATATAATTTACAAATATGCAGTAATGTTAGCAAAAGCTTTTATTCTCACCGGTACGCTACTGAGACCCTGGTTTTGGGAGGCGATTGACAAGACATTTTCGAAGTCCATGGTGATTATTTGCCAGGTGGTGAATGGTTAGCTAAGGTTGGGTGGACAGCTCAATATTCCCAGCCAGAATGAACAAGTATGACAGGCTACCTAGCTACTAGCTAGCTGTTTCCAGAAACTTCAACCATAACCAGGCGTTATCTGTCTTCAGAAAATATAACTGGTCAAACTGTAGTTGACTCGCTTGCTAATTTGAACTGAGCAAAACTAGACACCTAGCTATCTCAACCAGCTAAACAAGGCAGCTGACGTTGCTAGCCTCACTTGTTAGCCTAGCTAGCCACGTAAGCCTTCACTGGGATAACGTCGGTCTAATCAACTTGAAATGTGAACCACAAACACTAAAGTCAATTGATCACAAGTAAATATTCGTTACGGCGAGGGAAAATAAAGTTAAACGAAGAGATAAGCCGAGAAAAAATAACAAAACTCTATTTTCATGCTGCTGTTGTAGCAAAGACTATTATAGAAACGTAGACCGATGTGAAGCAGGCAAGAATAACGAATTACTTCCGGGTCGCGGATTTTTGGAATCCTTCAGAATAAGTATTGTCCTGTAAATTTGGTAAATTATTAATTTGGGCGAAACTACTTACCATACAATAATAATTAAAAGTATTTCTATAAGATATTATGTGATTTATTTATTTTTATTTTCAAGCCTAAATGGTCAACATGTTTTTGTGTGTGTGTACTCCTACCATTTATTGAACCATACATCATTGGCTGTACATTGTGTCGCAATAAAAAGGGGTTCCATTCTACTCAGGAGCTCTTAAGTTTCCAAATCCACAAGTTTACACCCAGACGAGCGTCGCTGCTCATTTTTCGGCCCTTAAAGAGATGCCAATCAGCTTAAATGCAGTATGTTTGTCATAATGGACATACATATTGCACTGTACATATGAATGCACAATCAAATGTTCTGAACATAAGATAGGGTACATTACAAGTGTTATCAATTAAGAGTTTAGTACTTAAGAGTTTTGAAAATATACTACTTCCATCTGACATTTTTTCCAAAGTGAATTAAATAAATAATAATAAAAACGGTAATAAAAATATTTCACTTTGAACAACTACCCCATCTAGTGTCCATTTAAAACCATAACGGAAATGAGTTTACTGAGTTTACACTCCCAGGATCGTTGCTGCTAATTTTGTGTCCCTTACAGGGGATCTGCACCTGCTGATTTGGCCTAGTTTTTTGGCTTGCTCCTCAAGAAATGCTGGTGGCCATGACATAAGCCAAACGTGAGTTGGCTTGGGGGTGTGGTTTGATGTGGGTGTTTCTTGGGTGTGTCCTTGCCACGACCAAGACAAACCCATCTGTCAGAACCTTGCCCGCAGCTGTTTCCCCCCACTCAATCACAACAAACAAACCTGCAGGTTGAGCTCAATAACTACAGGCAGATGTATGGTGACATGCCGGAGGAACCTTTGAATAGGTCAGTAGCCTACAGAGTAATATGAGAAGAATGCAATTGCAGATGTTTTTAAACATTCCAAACTAAGTGTTTTGATAACTTTCAAATGTAGTAACAGCTCCATGTTGAATAAATAATCCTTTACATAGTACCATAGAAGCAGTGTTCTGCTAATATAACAATGTGCACATTTTATCTTTCATTGTCATTCCCAGCCAAAACAGATACTGTGCCTATCGGCATTTTGTCTGGTGGTAATGGGGCTACCTTGGAAGACATGTTAGAGTGGTCATACCTTCATGTGTGGTGTCCAGTATACAACAGGAGGTTCCTGATCCTGGTGAAGAATACAAAGGGTTTCTCTCTCCCCATATTGACTGATACCATTCAATTCAATAATAAAAAAAGATAATACAAGTAAAAGTTGTGTCTAGTAAAAAAATGTATGCTGAGTGCCAGGTCCATTCAGAGACATCAGTAGCATGCATGTCTGTCAGTCAGGACTTCATCACATCTTCTTGCAAACCTCCATGTGCTATCTCCATACATGTGTCTGTGAACACATACACACATAGTCACTGTTCTATTACCAATGGCAGTTAGGATAGGTAATATCTGACACACAAACAGGTACTTTGTTGAAGTTTAAACAGGTCAGACTAAACCTACTTAATTCTGTTCTCCCCATCGACGACCGTTGGTGAGCAGGCAAGAGGTGAGGCTGGAGGTGATATCAGCTCCTGGCCCCTCATCAAAGATACTAGTCGGTCACACACAAACACACAAAGAGAGAGAGAGAGCACTTATTACATTATCAATGGTGGTTATGATTAGCCTGGTGGAACCAACCTGATTGTTGTGCTCTCCTTTATATTTCACTTCAGATATCATAAAATGGATTTTCATTGTAAATAATTCATTGTAAATTGTAAATAAGAATTTGTTCTTAACTGACTTGCCTAGTTAAATAAAGGTTACATAAAATAAAATAAAATCTAAGAAGTAGAAAATAAGCAACAAATAATAAATGATGTTTCACAATTGGGTTCTCAAATGTATCAAAGTAATTAAGTGGGTTACCTTCTGTATTTGTACAAATGATGAGCCTGTGAAAGCTGTTGCTGCTGACAGTTGCTGGCAGGATACTTACATAGCAATACATAACCTACCGCATATTATGCATGGCAGAAAAAAAAAAAATTTTTTTTTTTTGATTTAAGATGTCTTTTGTGAATAATTGGTCTAGCCTATACTCCAAAATTAAACACATTCTAGTAATTACCTTTATTATAATGCATACTGGATGGACTTGTTACCTTATGCTAAGCTCCAAACTTTCTATCCATGACTCTGGGAGAGAATGTATAGGCCCAGGTGATGCTGTTGGTTCATTGATTGTGCAGGGCGGCTTACAGAGTTAGCCTACAATTATAGTAGTGAATTTTTATTTTATTTTGAATAGCCTAGTAATAGGGAATTGTTTATATGTTTGTAATTAATAGGCTGACACATTACCTTTAGCTACAGAATATCTCACCACTGTGCATTTCCATCTCCTCCTCTTTCTCCTTAATTCCTTTCTCGAGAGCGCAGAGAGAGGGGCTGTCAACAGTTAAATTAAATATGTTTATTTGTGAAAACAAGTTACTATCGATGTTCCCGAACAGATTTCACTTGGTTTCCCAAAGTAAGCCCTGGGTAGCTGCAGGAATAGGGTTGGAGAGCCCATGGCATACAGAGTTTGGGTGGAATATCACCTGTCAATGAGAGGCTGCGTGCTCCTCAAACAGTGCAGCTAAAGGGTAGAGCTGCCGCTTTCGAGGAGCGGGACTCTAACCCGGACGCTTATAAGAAATCCCGCTATGCCCTCCGACGAACCATCAAACAAAGAGTCAATACAGGACTAAGATTGAATCGTACTACACAGGCTTTGACGCTCGTCGGATGTGGCAGGGCTTGAAAACTATTACAGACTACAAAGGGAAGCACAGCCGCGAGCTGCCCAGTGACACAAGACTTCCAGACGAGCTAAACCACTTCTACGCTCCCGAGTGGCCTCCCGAGTGGCGCAGTGGTCTAAGGCACTGCATCGCAGTGCTAGCTGTGCCACTAGAGATCCTGGTTCGAATCCAGGCTCTGTCGTAGCCGGCCGCGACCGGGAGACCCATGGGGCGGCGCACAATTGGCCCAGCGTCGTCTAGGGTAGGGGAGGGAATGGCCGGCAGGGATGTAGAGCATGGGTTGTGGGTTTGATTCCCACGGGGGGTATGGAAGAAAAAAAATGTATGCACTCACTAACTGTAAGTCGCTCTGGATAAGAGCGTCTGCTAAATGACTAAAATGTAAATGTAATGCTCACTTCGAGGCAAGCAACACTGAAGCATGTATGAGAGCACCAGCTATTCCGGATGACTATGTGATCACGCTCTCCGTAGCCAATGTGAGTAAGACTTTTAAGCAGGTCAACATTCACAAGGCCGCAGGGCCAGACGGATTACCAGGACGTGTACTCCGAGCATGTGCTGACCAACTGGCAAGTGTCTTCACTGACATTTTCAACATGTCCCTGACTGACTCTGTAATACCAACATGTTTCAAGCAGACCACCATAGTCCCTGTGCCCAAGGACACTAAGATAACCTGCCTAAATGACTACCGATCCGTAGCACTCACGTCTGTAGCCATGAAGTGCTTTGAAAGGCTGGTCATGGCTCACATCAACACCATTATCCCAGAAACCCTAGACCCACTCCAATTTGCATACCGCCCCAACAGATCCACAGATGATGCAATCTCTATTGCACTCCACACTGCCCTTTCCCACCTGGACAAGAGGAACACCTACGTGAGAATGCTATTCATTGACTACAGCTCAGCATTCAACACCATAGTGCCCTCAAAGCTCATCACTAAGCTAAGGATCCTGGGACTAAACACCTCCCTCTGCAACTGGATCCTGGACTTCCTGACGGGCCGCCCCCAGGTGGTAAGGGTAGGTAACAACACATCTGCCACACTGATCCTCAATACGGGGCCCATCGGGGGTGCGTTCTCAGTCCCCTCCTGTACTCCCTGTTCACCCATGACTGCATGGCCAGGTACGACTCCAACACCATAATTAAGTTTGCCGACGACACAACAGTGGGAGGCCTGATCACCGACAACGATGAGACAGCCTATAGGGAGGAGGTCAGAGACCTGGCCGTGTGGTGCCAGGATAACAACCTCTTCCTCAACGTGACCAAGACAAAGGAGATGATTGTGGACTACAGGAAAAAAAAGAGGACTGAACACGCCCCCATTCTCATCGACGGGGCTGTAGTGGAACAGGTTGAGAGCTTCAAGTTCCTTGGTGTCCACATCACCAACGAACTATCGTGGTCCAAACACACCAAGACAGTCGTGAAGAGGGCACGACAAAGCCTATTCCCCCTTCACGTTTGACATACATTTTTTCCCCTGTCTTTTCAATTTAATATTAGGCCATTTTAAATCAAAACTAATTTGACATATTAGTAAATACAAGTCTGATGGGTGAGAATATGTTCACTTGATCAGAGAACAGTGTGCAGCCTGAGGCAATGAACAGAGCGCAATCTTTTATGCGAATTTCTCAAATCATCAATAGCCTATAGTCACATCATGCAGCCCATATATGTTTTGATTTCGAAGACATTCTACGGTTTGTATCATTCACAACTAAAGTTGCCAAATAACTCTAAATCTAGCATATAGGACCTGTTTCAAATTATCACTTTTACGCTCAACATAGCCACTTCATTTGCGCACTCGCTCCGGAATGGGAAAAATATAGTTTCTATTTTATTGAGCTATGTTCAGTTATATTCTTCTTACTCTAAAGTCAATATAAAATAATTGCACAGGACTTATAAGCATATCTTGTCTACTAAATGAACAAGCCTACAGGCTAGGGCATGGTGCATAGCCAGATAACATACAGTAGGCCAACTCATATTCTGTTCTTCTGAATTACATTTTCTTCATATCATAATATTTCTTTAAACCTGCCTAAAATAAATAATGGATTTATTGTGAT